CCAGGCAAATCAGGTAGAAGCCACAACATCACTCCAAAGATTCAGGACAGGATTGCAAGTTGTTCCTAACCCTGGCTCACCCCTCAGTATTAAGATTCACAGGGCAGTTTCCAAGCATCCACCCACCCAGGCTTTGTAGCTGTGCTGTATTTGCACAACAGCCTTGGGCTTTTTCCCCCTCCCATCCTTCAGATTCTCAACCCAAGGTCAGCATGGATTTGGGGTGGTGCTTTGAGGAGTCCAGACTAGAATCTCGGGGCATCCTATTAACAGATGCCACTCCTACTGAGCCAGAATTCATGACAGTAAATACTTTCCTGGTCTGCTTCCTCCTCCTCCTCCTCCTCTTCCTTGGTGACCGAGATAATATATTATGCTAGCAAAGTGCTCTTTGCTCTTAGCCTTTCTTCTCTTTTTCTTTTGGAGAGATAAATTAGAAAACACATACCCCCCCCTCTCTCTCACAGACACACAGACACACAGACACACAGCTATTCTTGTCTATCAATCACCTATATCACTACAAGTGAATAGATGCGGACTGTAGCAATTTTAAGATGCATTAAAGAATGATATAGAACATATGGCATATTTATATGTGTACTATATCTCTATCTATAAGGTTGTTCAATAGGTTGTAACCCAGTTGGTGGTGTCTGGACTCAGAATCTCAACATCAACACATCGAGTTTTAGATGTCAAAAACATCCCAGAAGACAATCACTTACTTGTTTTATCTTCTTAGCAAGATAATTTCATGCACATGATTTTGAAGTCATTAGGAAACAAGCATGAAGGAAGTTTGTCTAAATGCAACTGTAACTTTTAAGGCAATTCCAATCTCTACATTTCCTCTCCAATGCTGATTGATTGATTTCATTGGCTGCCCATCTTCCACAGGTAACTCTAAATTTAACAGTGATTTCTGACTGTTTCCCCTTCCGTTGATCTTGAAATACACAAAACAGGGAAAGGCCACTTTGAGCAAATCACTTCCCTCTTTCCAGCTGACCAATAGAAGGTGCAATGTGTAATTCACAGTTCCCTGTCTCCTCAAACTTCTTGCAAACCCTGTTGCAATAAAAGTCCTCTTATTCTCCACTTACGCACAGGAAATAAAACAAATTGTTAGTACTCATGGATGTTTACGGAGTATAATGTATGCTTTTGTTGACTGTATTTCCAAAGAAAAAAAGGACTTACTGCAAAGAAATATGTATGAAATAGTGAGGCCACAATTAATATAATACAATATTGCCCAAACTTCCAGTAGGATATGTGATAGGTGGCTGGATTTTGGGCATTGTGATGGGAATACCTTTTGCCACACTTTCATACATCCGTACCAAAGGGGGTATATTCAGCCAGTTCTGACAGGTTCTGGGGAACCAGTAGCGGAAATTTTAAGTAGTTCAGAGAACCAGCAAATACCACCTCTGGCTGGCTCTGCCCCCATCGATTTGCCGCCTCCTGAGTCCCAGCTGACTGGCTGGGTCTTCTTCTCTTGCCCTGCACAGGAGAACAGAGCTGGAAAGCAGGTGAGTGGGGTGGGGAGAGAATAGAGATTTTACAGTATCCTTGCCATGGAGTGGGGTGGAAAAGGAGATTTTACAGTATCCTCCCCCCCAGGAGTGGGGAAGGAACGGGGATTTTGCTATATCCTTCCCCTGCCACGCCCACCAAGCTACACCCAAGCCACGCCCACCAAGCCATGCCACACCCACAGAACCGATAGTAAAAAAAAATTAATCCCACTACTGATCCATACCCATCATCTTGCTACTCCCCTTTTGGTAAGCAATATTGTGCAAAGATACGGAGCAACAAAAAGTCATTTAAAATGAGTTCTGGTTGTACTTCTGATGCCTTTGGAAGCCTGATCTGTAAGCTCTGCATCATCCCTGTCAGAGGATGAGCTGAGGTGGCGCAGTGGTTAGAGTGCAGTACTGCAGCCACTTCAGCTGACTGCTAAGCTGCAGTTCGGCGGTTCTAATCTCACCGGCTCAGGGTTGACTCAGCCTTCCATCCTTCCGAGGTGGGTGAAATGAGGACCCGGATTGTTGTTGGGGGCAATATGCTGAC